CTCAAACATTAATTCTTTCTAGTTTCATCTAAGTCAGCCTGCAGTGATGTTTAATACTTAATGCTAAAACCAACACGCGTCCAGAACCAGACGAAAAAAGCCTCTGTTTAATGTGGAAGCAGAAAGGGAAAGGTAAAACCAATAAAAACATTTTGATTGCTGTAGTACTTTGCTTTCAGCACAAAAAGTTGAGTCTGCAGTAAGAGCAAGAACTGTAGTAGAGGATGTCACCTACTGAGGCAAATATGAAAATCTAGGCTTACAGAAGGAAGATCCAGAATCTACAGCAGGAGAACAATGGGACATTATTTCTCCTGTAGTAAATGGACAGAAGGCTAATGCCTGTAGTAAAAGAAGTCTGCAGAGAGAGAAGATGACTGAGATATGAAGCAAAGGAACAGGCTAATGTAAGGAAGAAAGGAAGAATGTTCTGATCTTGAACACAATAACTTTGGAGCAGAGAGAGACCAAATGAAAAATCAAGGTTGGAAGGAGATGAACAGGGATTTAAAATTGAATTCCCATTCTCTCAGCTCAGAAAAGGCAATGGCAAAAAGGCTTTCAAGCAATCTTTGGCCAATGCACGGGGAAGACACTAGTCCAATAGAAATGTAAGTGGGCTAGCAAAGTACAGAAGTCCTCTTTTTGCATTTTGGATTTCCCATGCCTGTTCACCAGTCAGCTAATCAGAATTAAAGCCATATCCAATTAACAATAACAAAGACATTCAGAGTAGTGTAACAGCCACCATTTTGGCTGACCCCAGGGATTAGGCCAGGGATTTACACAGATAGAAATTTACATCTTGAGGTAAAGAGCCAGGCTTTGTAGCTAGGAAATGGGAGAAATTTGCCTCTTTTCTGGATCAGGCACCAAGCGGGACATGTAACACACACTAACCAGTGGGTTACAGAGGCTAGTGATCACTATTACTTCCTCACTAATAAGCTTATGACACATCACTCCAACTCTAACATGGACTCTGTCCTTCAAACCCCACAAAAGAGGTCTCTTCTATGGTCACAGTTGATAACAGCCTCAGCTCAGTACTGGCAACCAGTCTTATGGATCTCAGTAGGCCAAGTCCTTCCACTCCTTCACTAAGGATTGGGGTCCTCTGTGGACCAGAGGTTCTGTCCATTTGCTGAATCAGGAAGAAGGCCCTGACCTAGTTTAAAACCAAAACCCATTTTTGTCTCTTAGTTCAGACTGGATTCTCCAGTGACCAGTATATGCATACCTCTCCAAGGTGGTGGCTTCAAAGGGCTGATAGTGGAGGAAGTTCATTAGCATCCCCTTCTTACTAGAGAAGGTACACACAATAACACATACACAATTGCATTTCTAATTCAGTGGATCCCAAAGGAATTAACCCTAAATCAATAAGGTTTATCTTAATTCCATAAGGTTTGTCCAGGATATTACAGGAGATTGTCTCTGTCACAGTTATAGCCTAAAATATGTAGGTGAGACATCTGCTTTGTTGCTGAAAAATTTGATCCTCCCCACACACTCCCTTACATCTGCACAGGAAGCAGAGAATTACCTGCATGAGGTAGAAGAATAGCTCTTCATGTTTTCACTATGTATGCTGTTATTGGAGATAGACAGTTGGGGGATAGTGACACCGCTCAATTGTTGTTAGGGATCCCCCCTTCTGAATTTTCCCCAGGGGCATTGATTTCCTATTCTTGTATTCTGTTATACAAGTTTAAGCAGCACCCTACCTTCTTCCCTACTTTCTTTCCCTGTTCTTCTGCCCCATGTTATAATCTAAGATATTAATATTGTTCTATATTTTTATTGGGTCAGAAGCCACTCAAGATTTACACCTTCACATCATGCCATCAACAAGTGCTATTCTTATTAAAGTGTGTCAATATGAAGGAATAGCATGTTATCATGATGTACAAATGCAAATGACTTATTTGAAATGTTTAAGTTTCATTGACTTTGGAAAAATGTCTAATATTTTCCCTATATGTGGAATGACAAATATTAAATCTTAAGTCAGGTGCCCAGAATTTCATATGCATATAAATTATTTGCATTACAGTAGCATAGGCCCCAGACAGGATCAAGGGCCCATTGGGCTAGATACCCATAAGACAGTCCCTGCCCTGAAGAACTTGCAATCTAAATTACATGCAAAAAAATTCAGATGAATGTCAAGGTTGCAGAATCAAGTCCTCAAAAGTTAGGACATGGCAGCATTAAGGTGCAAATGCATAGATCCAAGAAATGTGAAATGTGATTTGTTCTTAGGGGGGGAAAGGTGAGAAAAATGAAAGTTTAGCTGTTTCATCAAAGTTTACCTTGAAGGGGATTTTTCCCAGTTTTCCAATGAAAACCCCCAAAATTTTGTCAAGCAGATATTTCCCACAGAAATCTGTTTTGACAAAAAAGTTACTTTGATCCAAAAATATCTAGAATTAAATATTTCAACCAGGTCTATATGTGCATTATGAAAGTGGTACAATCTTTAATAAAATGTCCACAATATTTTTTCAACAGGAACCCTCTAGTCCTTCTCTCTTCAACTTGGGGTTCCAGTCTCTGTTTCTGATCCCTAGGTTTGGAGGAGATGGCTAACATTCCTGGACATGCTGCTCTCAGCCTCCCAGTTAGTCCTCTGTGTCAGATCTCTGTAAATCCAAATCTAGAGTGCCAGATGCACATGATCTGATCAACCAGTGCTTAATGCACTGAAGAAATGAGTCTCCTTTTCATACATATCACATAACTAGTCTTGGCATTATCCTAGTGGCATTCAGTAGTGTTTTGATACATAATATGTGACTATATACTTCCCATATAGTACAAATAATGATAATATAATAAAGTGGGAAATGATCTGTTTGGCAAGTGAGGCTAACAGAAATAAATGTCCAAGCACCAGGAAGCCTCTGCAGCATTATAGTGGAAACATGAATAAATTGGGAGACATGCTAATATTTTCCTGGATGAGTCACTAACAATATGTGTGAATGGTGAGGGACTGAGAGTATTGGGGGATCTCCAGCAATTCATTTGGCCACAACTCTGAGACAGCACTCTCTATGCAAAGAAAAGACATTTTACCTCTATGATGGCTTGTTACTGGCTTCATTTATAAAAAGAGCTATAAATTATTATGAAAAATGTCAAATGTCCAGTTCTGTGATGTTAATGGTTCATGAGGGGAATGAGAGGAATGCAAGTACCATTCCAGTCATTTAATTGCAAGAATCTTTTTTTATTTTATTTTATGGCTGAGGGTTGGTTAACTTAAATATAAGTCTAGTGATTCTTGTTATTCTGCTCTAAAAAATGTAAGTGATTTTAAACAGCTACTTAGCCATAGACCCATCAAAGAAGCTTCCAATTAGCAAGTCATACTGAAGATAAATTCAAATCTTTGCAAATAGTTATAATCACAGCTCACCAAATTTGCTTCAGCTCTGTGCTTGCCATGTAGTAGTAATGGAGCTGGTCTGTAATTACAAAGGTGTTAATTTCAGCATTGTGTGTACCCTTTTCTTTTACTAGATTGGCACGAACATTTCACACTCGAGTGTGTGCTGTAATTGGAACAAACTGCAACAACCAAGCTCTTTGTAGCCGTTGCTTAGCCCCTCCATTTAAAATTCCCAAGCCACACTTCTGCCTCCCAAGCTGCCTTTGAAGGCAGATTTATATGTTTTAAGCACAATTCAAGCATATTGCGGGCACAGCAGGAGATTGTAAACAATCAGAAACTGAATAGGGGCACTCCTCAGCATCCCAGTGTGGCAGAGGCTAAAAACCACCTGCATTTAAGTGTTTACACCCTATGCATGATATGGATGTTTCGTGATTGTTATTAAATGTTATTCAGGAACATCATTTAGAACATAGCATAGTGTACTTGGATAACATAAAGGACTTTTCACGTAGGTCAGTCATTGCTACATTGAAGACAGGGATTATTCCCTTACTTTTGAGACAGTCATGCAGCTTTTTATCATCCTCACATTCCATATGTCACAGTTCATCAAAATATATCTCAGGCACTGCACAATTCAGAAAATCATGAAATAAGAATCTTCTGCTTTGATCTAAATTCCAAACTGATTACACCTTTCTACATCTTGAAGGGCTTTCTGTTTGTAAAATATCAATTAAATAAACATGGAAAGAAAATTAGATTTAATAATTACTACTTTTAAGATTCACTTCCTTGATCTCAGATGGCCCAGAATTAATACAATGACAAAGTTGCTGGCAGAAAAAATACTACATTTTCTATAGCCCTTATAAATCCCACAAAAATCAACCATAGTGTTGCCAAGTGGTAGTAGATGTCAGGGCCTTGCAAGTTAGCTTCCCATGGCAGGAAAAATCACCTATACAGAATCTGTGTATTGTCTTAGTGAAACTTGTTCACCTGCACTATATACTGTGTGTTGTCTAGTCTGAAGAACTTGTACTGTAAGAGTGTGTGTGTGTAATTGATTGTGCATGACATATCATGGTAGCATACATTAACAATAGCATTTTACCTGCTGCAGCACCGTTGATATGTATTTTACATTTTAAACTTTGTTTTTATGTTCCATTAGCGTTAGGGTTAGATTATGCCAAGGCCAGAGGAATGAAATACAAGGAATTGTAAGGGAAATTTTTTATTTTTGCCATTGTTTTCTCCTATGCCATCTTGGATTCCCCTTAATAGCAACCAGGAATCCATGTTTGGCATCCTTCTTCCCCATCCTCTGTTACCTTTTGGTGCCTTTTCTGTCTGAAGGCAGGAAACCGGCAGGTCACCTGACTGGGAGTCTGCTCAGCAATTAGGACGGTATATAAGACCAGCTCACCAGTTACATTAGGAGGGGCTGCCTGTCTGGGAGGTAGCAAGTGCTGCTGCTCACCTTGAAGGGTAGGCCCAGGACCACACTAAGGGTTGTCAGGAGGTTGCCTGCATGCAAGAACGAGCTGTCACCCACCATTCTGATCCTTCTCATATATCCACCCATGCCGATGTAGGGAAGAAGAGCTGCAAGAAGAGCAAGAACAGAGCATCCATCAGCCTGTGCCAGAAGGTCCTGTCTTCCTTCCTGCCGAGTCCTCTGGACCTGGAACCGGAGCCAGAGCCGTCGTGACAGTGCCATTGGTTAAAGCTGCAGGATATGGTAGAGACCCAACATCTTTCTTTCTACCTAGCCTAATCTGGGCGTAGCCTTCGGTTAGGGCTTCAAGCCCTGCTCTGTTATAGCCAGTGCCTGTTATGTTTTTAGCCACCTGTTTGGTTGTATTTTGGGAGTCCTGAGTGTTTTGTTTAATACTTTACCTTGTTATACTTATCTGAGTTTACCTTTATCTTGTTAACTGTTAATAAAACCTGTTCTTGTTTGCACCTTATCCTTTTGTTAGTTCTCTTTGGGGAGCAGAGGTCCCAATGAAAGACGCAGGATAGGGGAGACATACCTGAAATTGGTCCTTTGGCCAAGTATAAAATCCAGCCAACAGAACCAGGAAAGCAAAGGTTTCTTCCTTTGCAACCATACTTAAATTTCATAGGCAGTAAGTAATGGAAACCCATAAAGCCACTTTGGTGAAAACACATATAGCTTAAGTTGCTGCTGAATGTAGCACAGGTCATTTCATGTTAATAAACTATGCTCCTCTTTTTATTGTGTGTAAACTCATCACATAGAACTTTGAAACATTGAAACAGGGGGAAATATATAAATATTGTTAAAAGCATGTTGGACCACAGAACCATATTTCTGTGGCACGGATGGAATAAACTGCAATTACCTTTCAACTTAAAATAAATATTAGGTTTGTGAAAGTAGCAATGTGAAATCCCTTATGAACACAGATCTGAGGTTTATCCTACCTTTTATTTTCACTAGATTGTGGATTTTTGCTAGAAAACCACAGGCAACTTTGGTTTGTGGTATGTTTGAGCTAATTAAAGGTAAATAAATAGATAAAATAAGGAGAAATATTCAATTACATATAATGAGAGAACAGAGTGAATGTGAATGCTGCTTAGTATTAAATTACTTTCATTCTTTTAAAAAAAATCTGGATAGATTCAAGAAGTAAAGTAAGACCGAGGGGAAAATATAAATTAATCAATAACACACTTCTGCGATAGAATGTTTTTGACTACCACAGACCTACTCATAGACTTTAAGGCCCGAGGGGACCATCATGATCATCTAGTCTGTAATAGGCCCATCAGGGCTGGCTCCAGGGTTTTGGCCGCCCCAAGCAGCCAAAAAAAAAAAAAGCCACGATCGTGATCTGCGGCAGCAATTCGGCGGAAAGTCCTTCGCTACAAGCGGGAGTGAGGGACCGTCTGCCGAATTGCCACTGAATAACTGGACCTGCCGCCCCTCTCCGGAGTGACCGCCCCAAGCACCTGCTTGCCAAGCTGGTGCCTAGAGCCGGCCCTGAGGCCCATACCCTTTGGCTGAGTTACTGAAGTCCTCAAATCTTGATTTAAAGTCTTCAAGTTCCAGAGATTCCACCATTTACTCCAGTTCAAACCAACAAATGACCTGTGTCCCATGCTGCAGCAGGGCCACCCACAGGGGGTGGCAAGTGGGGTAATTTGCCCCAGACCCCGCAGGGGCCCCGTGAGCCCTGGCCCGGCGGTGGTCTGGGTCTTCGGCGGCGGGTGGCCCTTCAGTGCTGCCGAAGAGGTGGAGCGACTGAAGGGCCCCCCCACCGCCAAAATGCCGCCGAAGACCCAGACCGCCGCTGGGTGAGTACAAGCACCGCAGCTCCCCCGCTTTGCCCCAGGCCCCCTGAATCCTCTGGGCAGCCTGTGCTGCAGAAGAAGGTGGGGGGAAAACCAATCTGACCTAGGGGGAAATTCCTTCCCAATGCAAAATATGGCGATCAGTTAGACCCTGCGCATGTGGGAAAGATGCACCAGCCAGACACCTGGGAAAGAATTCTCTGCATCACTCAAAGCCCACTCCATCTAGTGCCCCATCTCTGGCAGTTGAGATATTTGCCAATTGCAGTCATGGATGGGCCATATGCCACTGTAGGCAATTTCATCATACCATCCCATCCATAATCTTGTGTAGCTCAGTCTTGAAAAAAGTTAGGTGTTTTCTCCCCCCACTATTCCCCTTGGAAGGCTGTTCCAGGACTTCATTCCTCTGATGGTTGGAAATCTTCAGCCATTTCAAGCCTAAACTTGCTGATGGCTTTTGTTCTTGTGCCAACACTGGCCTTTAACTCAAATAATTCCTCTCCTGCCCTGGTGTTTATCCCGCTGATGTATTTATAGAAAGTAATCATATCTCCTCTCATTCTTCATTTTGTTAAGCTAAACAAGCCAAACTCCTTAAATCTCATTTTGTAAGGTAGGTTCTCCATTCCTCTGATCATCCTAGTAGCCCTTCCCTGCACCTGCCTCAATCTGAATTCACCTTTTTTAACATGGGAGACGAGAACTGCACACCGTATTCCAGATGAGGATTCACCGGTACCTGGTATAAGCTTTTCGCACGGATGCACCACATTGGCAGCTCAGAATCATCCTGTTATTGACCAATACATCCTTGTCTTTCTCCTCCTCTGTCACTTTCAACTGATACATCCCCAATTTATAGCAAAAATTCTTGTTGTTAGTCTATAAGTGAATAACCTTGCACTTCACCACAATTAAAATTCATCCCATTTCTATTAATCTAGTTTTCAAGATCATCCAAATCTTGTCTGATATTCTGATCTTCCTCTCTACATCAGTTTTTTTGTTTTTGTTTTTGTTTTTTCAAAGAAAGAGATCAGGTTGGTTTGGCCGATCTACTTTTTGTAAAACCATGTTGTATTTTATCCCAATTCCCAACTACCTCTATGTCCTTTACTACTATCTCTTTCAAAAATTGTTCTAAAATCTTGCATACAAGTGAGATCAAACTAACAGGCCTGTAATCTCCCAGATCACTTTTTTCCCCATTCTTAAATATAGGCTCTATATTTGCAATTCCCCAGTCATAGTATATCACCCTTGAGTTTACAGAATCATTAAAAATTCTTGCTATTGGGCTTGCAATTTCAAGTGCCAGTTTCTTTAATATTCTTGGATGGAGATTATCCAGGCCTTCCAATTTAGTCCCATTAAGATATTTGAATTTGGCTTCCACTTTGGATGTGGTAATTTCTACTTTAATATCCTCATTCCCATTAGTCACCCTGCCACTGCCCCTAAGCTCCTCATTACCCTTATTAAATACTGAGGCAAAGTATTCATTTAGGTGGGCCATACCTAGATTATCTTTAAACTCCACCCCATCCTCAGTGCTTAGTGGTTCCACTTCTTCTTTCCTTGGTTTCTTTTTATTTATATGGCTAAAAAACCTTTTGCTATTGGTTTTAATTTCCTTTGCAAGGTCCAACTCTGCTTGGCTTTTGGCAGTTTTCACTTTTCCCCTATGCTTTCTGCCCTCCAACTCGTAGCTTTCCTTGCTGATCCATCCCCTCTTCCATTCCATAAAACCAGTTATGTGCATATTTGGCACCCACCAAATGAATAATGTTAATGTGAGCAGACACAGCTTTCTGGAGTCTTTTTCTATGAGATGTGGCTTGTTCCTGCTTTCAATGCTATGTTAATGAATGCCAACGAGACTATAGGCTGTATTTTAACTTTTTGTTTACTTCACTGGACATGTGCTGAGAGAGCAGTAAGTGCCATTCCCATGGTATAGTGCTTACCACATGTACTTAAAAGGTCCATACTTACACAATTAATCACATTTTTCAAAATTATTTGCTTTCCCACATTCAACACAATAGGCCTTTGTTATATTTTACAGCTTCAGCATAAAAGAAACATACTAGCTACTAAAACACTATAATGGCATAACTTTGGCCACAATAAATAGCTAAGTTTTAATATGTCTGGACTGCAACAGTCTCCTGATTATCCAAGATGGTGATGGATAAATCCCCACTGAAAATAGAGAATAAATAGGGAATGTAGTGGTGACTTTTTGTGAGGAAGGAAATGTACTGGAAAGCTCAGCTGAGAGTTAGAGACGATAATTAATTGTATAGCCATGGAGGAGATGGAAGAGGCCAAAATACTGAAACATCAGCAAAGGAAGATTCCAGCTAAACTGCAATGGAGGAGATGCTAGGCATGAGGAGTGGATCTGAGTGGTACAACAGATGGGATATAATGGTAATCTGAGCCAGGCAGTGGTGACTGGGTTTATTTTTGTTATATAATAATTCAATAGCTATGTAAAGAGCTAAGAAGTGGGTCACTGGAGTGAAAAATTGAAGGCAGTCTTGTTGATCTTGTTAGCATTTAACGATGGATGGTGACGGAGAATTGCTTGTGAGATCTGGTGGGAGCACAGCATAAGTTGGTATGGATGCAGGAATACTTAGAGTTATGGTATAAAAGCTCTAAGATTTTAGGCACCTCTGTGTGTATTTTGCAATGAACTATTGAACTGTTGGTTTTAATTGGGCTATTGCTTGTGCTGATAGTGTGTGAAAAAGTAGGGGGAGAGGTTCACTGGCTAATTGGCTGTTTTTATGTGATGCTTCATTGTCCTAACTTCCATTTTTAGTATAACTTTCCACATGATGAATCTTCAGCTTCAGAGAACTATAATGGAAAGGAATTATGTAATTTGCAAGATGTGATACATACTGTATCTGGGGTCAGAGTTTATGCATGGAGTGCTAATTTACTGAGAATCTCAAATGCCAAATGGTTCATGTTGAGATTAAGACAACGTGGCACTACACCAGGAGAATAGAGGTTTCATGAGTCACAGGTAAGGCATTTAGACTGGTTAGCATTCTGCAAGCAGGAAGCTCAGGAATATGTAGTGCAGGAATAGCCAACTGCCCTATCAATAATAAATATTATAGCATTGCACACAAATCACTCCAAACACTGCAGTATGATTGCTCTTAGCTATATTGTATGGACCATTACTGTAGACTGTTGTATTACTTTTCTGATAAGTGTTGCTAACTCTCACAATATTTGGTGATTTTTATAGAGCCTGAGCTCCAGGAGGCAAGTGATTAGGTGAGAATGTCATCTTTCTTTTTTTCTTGTAAGTAAGTTTCTATTCATCATGCTTGCAGATATCAGCTTGAAAATGTGACTCAACTGCACCCTAAACCCAGAAGGCAAACA